TTTACCTGTTCCACCAAGTTGGCATGTTCTTTTTGAGCCGCATCCAACTCGGCTCGAAGGCTCTTGGCTTCTCCTTCGATTTGCTTGCTGAGAATCTTATACATGTCCCTCTTCTCAGCAAGCTCTTTTACTTCGACCTCGATTTGACTAAGCTCGTCTCGGTACTAAAGAAAGGTCTCGTGGTGAAGCGTTGAGGTCTGTAAAATAAGGAAAGGAAAAAGCATTAGAGTCCTCAAAAATTGAGTCTGAAAACCAAAGAGTATGATAACACCTTACCCGGTTCAGTGCCTATTGTGCCTCGTTGAACAAGCATGGCGTATCCACATCGTTCATTTTTGCTTGGTCTTCTTTGGTTACCAGGCACCAGAGGTAACTAGTTATCTCGACAGGGGTAGAGAGAACCCAAGCATCCTCTAGAACGATAATAATAATTGATCGCTTCCGACCAGGGTCTGAGCTTGGGCGGGGAACCATTTAACCAACCTCGGGCTCGAGTTAGGCCCGCCAACCTCCGAAGATGAACTTTTCCTCGGTACCTCTAAGTCACCCAACCTGATGACGTATTCTAGGGCGATGGAGTCCACGCCGTCAAAAGCAGCGAAGGACACCGTTCGCTCTGTGAGCCCCTTCGTTGGGTCTCCCTCTCACCGTTCGGGCCTTGTTGAACATAGACTCGGTAAATGAAGGTGATCCGATAATATCTACCATACCGAGTGCCTCTTTCGGGGCATTACCGGTATCCCGGGAAGTCTCCGCCCCAACCTCTTCATTAACCTCCCTAACTTTAGGGAGATCGGCCTCATGGGTCTCTTGTTTAACAACCTCCTGCTCTTCGGGGGCCGACAGGTTGTGGGCCGCAAAATGCTCTTCCTCCTCGAACTCATCCTTAAGGTCGTACAACAAATCCGAATCTAGTGCTCGATAGGTGGATCTCTCATTTGGCTTACGAGCCAGTCTTCTCTTTGGTTTTTTCTTCTCTGAGCTCGGGGAGCCCAGAGCCTTTAGTTTATGCTTTTTCTCTCCTATTGCAACCCCTAGTTGCCGCAAGGCAGAGGAGTCAACGGGCAAGTCCTCATCCCCAACCGGAGGTCTAAGCTCGACGGCCTTAGGAAAACCTGCAAAAAGAAAATAAAGGAAATTAGAACAAGATGCTAGAAGAAGAAGCACAATACGACTTGTTCGGGAAAGAAATCTTACCATGGGAAAGGGCCTCCCAATGACCCTTAGAGAGTTTGCACCACGAGCACTCGGAGTAGGACATCCGTAACACAATACCCATGATCCACTCCTTGAGCCGAGGAATAGCGTTTGGAACTCGAGCAAGGGCTTTACCACAACAAACACCGATGAGAAAAGGGAAGATAAAACATAAAATTGACGTTTAAGAGTAATAGACTTACGTGATATGTTCTGCTTCTCAGGGAACGACCTCCACTTGGTAGGTATCAGGTCGGCGATCTTCACCCGGACAAAGCGTCCTTGCCAACCCTAATCCCCGACCACTTTAATGCTTGAAAATGGAGCTTTTCTAGCCTGGCGTACAAACTTTATAAGTCCCCTACAGAAGATTTGGGAACTGTACAAGTGAAGTTGATAATTGATGGTGAAGGTACACGAATAAATTTTGTTCACAAAGAATCGAAGGAGGATCACGATCCTCCACAACGAGGGATGAATTTGGCCGAGGCATACATTATACCTCCTGCAAAATCTGAGGTGACCGGGTCTACTAGGCCCAATGTAAATAGATAAGTGTAAACACTCGATATCCCTCAACATGGGTGGTAATGGTCTCCTCGGAATCGGGGACCCCTACATCCTTGTCGGCCCAGTTGCAGTCCTTTCGGACTGTGCGGAGGTCCTCTTTGGTGATCGAGCAAATATATCTCGAGGCCTCCTTACATCGACCCTGCACCGAAGAAGGCTTCTCAACCTTGAAGTGGTTAGTGACCGAACAACCCCCGGGATTGAACATCTTTAAGGGAGGTTCATCGACTGGTTCACTGGTAGCCATGTCAACAGCGGACCTCTCTATGTCGACCATATCGGGAACGGTCTCATTGATTTTAGCAGTTGGTCAGGAAGTAGAAACGCCCTTTTGGGGAACGGATTTAGAGGTTTTGGCCATTATTATCTGAAAAAAGCTTGAAAAGAATAGAAAGTTGAAAGTTTAGATATGTTGGCTTGGGTAGAGAATGAGTGAAAGCTTGCAATTTACTGAGGAACCTTAAGTGACAAAGGTAAAAATTACTAGAGTATAAGAAGAGTGGGTAATGGAATCCTAAAGGCACGAAGGTAGAAGATTGAACGTAAAGTAAAAAATGAATGAAGGAGAGAATATTTACAGGGGCTCTACGACGTTTCGCGTCTAGGGATAACCAACAGACGGCTGGCACGCAAGTGAGGTCATAATGACATGACTGACGAGATGTTTCAGGTTTTTTGTCATTTCTGTGACAGCGTATTAAAGACAGAATCGAGGAGCTCATGTCGTTTCTCGTCAACTTACTCTCCGAGAAACAATGGGACTATCTGTATATAGATAAAACTGATCTCGTGGCATACCTCGACTTTCGATATGATAAACCGAGCCAGAGATGTGATGACAAGGGACCAGAATCGAGGCTAGGGTCTCATAGAGTTAGAGCCGGGGGCAGGACGCCCGCCCTAGAGAATGTCGTGGCCATGATCTGGGATCGGCTTGTGTCGTTACGCAGTCGTCTTTGTTTGAGTGCATCAAAACTCGCCAGTATGATGATCTACATTTTTTGGTGTTTAAGGATGCGATGCAGCGAGATGGTGCTAAGAAGGTGGTTAATGGGGAGGATGGTGTTATGCTACTTCATAGGCGGATTTGTGTTTCTAATGTTGATGGTTTAAGAGACTTGATTCTTGAAGAGGCTCACACTGCGAGGTATTTCATTCATCCAGATGCTATGAAGATGTATCGTGATTTGAAGCAGTATTATTAGTGGCAGAGGATGAAAAAAGACATTGTCGAGCATGTGTCATGTTGTTTGAATTGCAAGCAAGTGAAGTATGCGCATCAGAAACTGGGTGGTTTGCTTAAGAAAATAGATATATTGGAGTGGATGTGGAAGCGCATTACTACGGACTTTGTGGTAGGCTTGGCACTGACCTTGAGGAACGTTGATGCTATTTGGGTCATTGTGGATAGTTTGACTAAGTCTGCACATTTAATTCCGGTTATGACTTCTTACACTCTAAGAGAGATTTTTTCAAATCTACATTAGAGAGATTGTTTGTTTGCACATGTTTCTATTACTATCATTTCATATCGGTGTACTCAATTCATATTGCACTTTTGGAGGGGTGTTAAGCGAGAGCTGGGTAGTAGGTGGAGCTTAGCACTACATTCCACCCATAGACAGATGGGAAATCCGAGCGTACTGTTCAAATCCTTGAGGATATGTTTTGAGAATGTGTTAGTGAAGTTAAAGGCCATTGACCAACTTTTACCATTTGCGAAGTTTTCTTAAAACAACAACTACCAGTCCAGCATTTTTCAGATGGCTTCGTATGAAGCCTTGTATGGTAGGTGGTGTCAGTCTTCTATTGTTTGGTTTGAGCCTGGTGAGGCTAGGTTATTGAGTACTGATTTAGTTCATGATGCTTTGGAGAAAGTGAAGTTGATTCAGGCGGGGCTTCACACAACACAATCCAAATAGAAGAGTTATGCGGATAGGAAGGTCCCTGATGTGGCTTCCATGGAGACTGAGAAGGTTCTTATTAGAGTTTCACCTATGAAGAGCGTGATGATATTTGGGAAGAAGGGCAAGTTGAGCCCTAGGCATATTGGCCCATTTGAGGTTTTATTTGAGTTGGTGAGGTTTCTTACAAGCTTGCTTTGCCACCCAGCTTGTTGAGAGTTCATCTGGTATTTCATGTTTCCATGCTCCGAAAGTATCATGAAGACAAGTTGTATGTTTTGGACTTTAGCACGGTGCAGTTAGAAGAGAGTCTGGCTTATAAGGAGGAGCTAGTGACCATTTTGGATAGGCAAGTTTGAAAGTTGAGGTCAAAAGGGATCGCATCGGTAAATGTGCTTTGGAGAGGCCAACCGAGTGAGGCGGATACTTGGGAGACCGAGTCAGATATGCCGAGTAGCTATATACACCTTTTTGAGCAACTCAGGTATGTCTCTAAACCCGTTCGAGAACGAACGCTTGCTTAAGAGGTGGAGAATGTAACGACGCGACCAGTCATTATGACTATTAGAGCCCCATGCCCATATTTGATGCTTCTCGTATACTTTTTTTTTTGATTTTTTATGACTTGGTGGGATGGTTGATTTGGTTTTAAGAAGTTTTGCCCGCCGAGCAGCCAAGATGAGGCATGTTGACAACATAGTGGTACTTAATGGAGGAAGAATTTTAGAGGAAGGCACCCATGATACACTTATGGCAAAAAATGGCTCGTATGTTGTATGTACGCTTGATGCAACCTCACTTCGGGAAGGGATTGCGTCAACAGTGACTTTGTTAAACAGAAATGATGAGAGCCTCTAGTATCTGTAATCATACTTTATGTCGCTGATGAACTTGCCAATTTTCCACCATGTTGGGAACCGCGGCAGACTCCCTCCAAAATGGTGATCCGCTACTTGGAAAAGATGATAAAGATATCTGATCATCTGTTTTAATAAGGAAGGTTCAGGCAGTGAAACTGATAGTTTGAATGATCCATTCCTCAAATTAGTTGAGGAAGGGTTTTTTTTGCATTCCGTAGATAGGATGTCGAAACATATTCTTTTGGAGGATTGGGATTATTTCTTGTCTCCTCAAGGTATATTTGGTTTGTTATTTTAGAGTTGAAAGGAGTGTAGCCATAGCTTTGATTATCGATTTTTCCTTCTTTTCCCTCTCTATTCTTTTGGGGTGTGTTGTAGTTTAGTTTCTCTGTTCATTTTTTCTACTGAAGTTCCCCTGGCCATTGTGCTATATATTTTTCTTACATGTTAGTTGTAGAAAGCTGGAAAATAATTGAAACACATACATTGTAATATTTGGTTACTTGGTTTGGGAAACATTTTTGTAATTTCATTGAATTGCCTTTGCCCAGACATTGAATGATGTATTCATTGCAAGAGGATATATAGAATCCATGACACTATATGATTGCCTGCCTCAGATACAGGTTGAGAGCAATTCTAGATCATGTCCAGCACCTGAAAAGAGTCAGCCACCACTTTAAGTTTGTTACGGAATTTTCTCCATCGCCTTTCATTTGCTCCCACGATTAGTGTGTAGTATCTCCCTGTACAAAAAATTCTTAATTTGAAAGAAGGCAGAAACTAAAAAAAATTGTGATGTCAATTGGTTAGTGGTTACCATTTCCAATTGCTATGGTAGCGAATGCTGCCCGAGAAAAATTTGGAGATGTCAATACATATTCAAAGGTGCAATAATTTTTACCATCCGTACTTCTCTACATCAGTTATAGAAATAACGTCAACACGTATTCAAAGGAGCTGTTCATCTAATACTAATAGAGAGAGATCATTAATTATACCTCCCTCATTTCCATTATGTTTGCCACCTGATTTGGTGCAGAGTAAACATGTTTTACCAGGTTGGCCACAACCTTTTGGAAGAAAATAAATCAGCAAGCAGCACATACATATTTTTATTGCATCTACATACATAGAAATATTTACCTCTTCTATTGGCCCTAAATCATGGATATCTGATTTATCAGATGGTATAAAACTTAGTCGGACATTTTGCAGTTGTAGATATCTGTCCTTAAATGCAGAATCGTGACCTCTGAAATCAAATTCCTGTCCGTGTTTCCAATTCCAAGTCAAAGAAAATAATTTCAAATAATTTAAAAAGTCACATACATACATACCCTCCAATCTGATGGATAGTAATATGAATATCCATCTTGTTTGTCAACAAAGATTTCATAGTTTTCTGGTTTTCCTGCAGACACCATCTGATAGTAATCGTCCAAAAGATCGCTCAATCTAATTATAACAGAGTGAGTACGTACCTTGAGCCAGAAGGGGACTCGTGGGTAATAAAAGAGCTCCTACTCCCAATAAAAATGCCCTCCTCATCCCACTTCCTGAAACAAAGTAATTCAAAAACACTATACGATTGATATATATAAGCTTTTACCTCAAAGATAATTGACTTACTCTCTTGATGAGAAAATGTGTTTTCTGATGCTGAGCATGCGATAATGTTCGCATGCCTATTCAGAGTGTTCGCTTCAGCACTGGCCCTATTAGTTATCGCTGCCGAGGGAAGACTCACTGAGAGTGAAGTAGCTGCCATTTTTGCAGATTTTTTTTTTCCTTCTCATAAAGTGTGGGATATAGATATATAGTGTTCTCTTTGATTGGTTCACAATTAAACGCATGTTTAGAATTATTTTCCTTTTGCTTTTTATTTTTTCCTTTACAGGATAAGATGCAAATAAATCGAGAGGATCACGTTTCTTGCCAAGGTTCATTGGGCTCCGGAAGTGCACAGATAGCCCATTTCGGCAACCCAATTTAAGTCATGGCTGAAGTTCATAAAATTTTGCAAGTTTAGCCATTTTGGAAACAACTTCAAACATTTGGGACTCAATTTGCAAAAAATTGCTTCTAAAATTATAAATTTCGTCTGAAGTTGGAAGGTCGCACACGTTAATGAACTTTAAGTACTTATGCATCAATTTCAGTTATATAGCTGAACTTCAAGCACGTATACATGAAGTCTATGCATTTCATGTCTCTCATGTCCATGCATATGAAGTTTGGCCGGCCAAGGTCAAACTTCAAAATCAATTTTTCTGAAGTTTGAACTATCAATTTTTATCGCTACCAATATTTTTAAGCTTTTTCAACAACAACTCCTTGATTTAAACTCAATTTCCATAATCAAAATTTAAGATCCACTTCTTCAAGCTTGCAAATATTTTAAAGTTTTTTCAATAATACTCACTTGATTTAAACTCAATTACGATATTCGAATTTCATGACTGACTTTTTCAAGTTTGCAAAAATGGTGATCTTTTCATATTTGAAACTCAAGACCCACTTGCTTTATAATTGTTTACCCCTTAAAATTGGATAACAATTAAACTTATAATGTGATTTTAAGGATACGCACTACTAGAAATCCGGGGGAAAACGACCGTAAAAAGCGACCAGAGTTGGTCGTTATTGGGCTAAAAAGCGACCAAAAAGCGNCAAGCTGCTGTGTAAGCTGCTACTACAAGCTGCTGTGTAAGCTGCTGTGTAAGCTGCTACGCAAGCTGCTGTGTAAGCTGCTACTATACAAGATATGGATAATCTTCTACTGAGAGCAATGTTTATCCATAACGGAGTACTGAATGGATAAGCTTGTTACACTACTAGAAATCCGGGGGAAAACGACCGCAAAAAGCGACCAGAGTTGGTCGCTATTGGGCTAAAAAGCGACCACAGGGACCTGGTAGCTATATTGATGGTCCCTTTTATTTAGGGACCAAAGTTGGTCGCTAATTAGCGACCAACTTTGGTCTCTAAACTAAATGGACCAATTTTTCCGGATATTGACTATAGAGACCAACTTTGGTCGCTTTATTAATTTAATAATATAAATTTGGCGACCAAAGTTGGTCTCTAAATATAAAATACGTTATTTATTTATTTATTATTAATCATTAAAAAGCGACCAACTTTGGTCTCTAATCCAAATATTATATTTTAAAATCTGGAAACTAGAGACCAATGTTGGTCGCTTTTTTATTCAATTATTTATTTATTTTATTAAACTAGCGACCAACTTTGGTCCCTAAATACATGAATTTAATTTATTTTTTAAATATTAGCGGCCAACTTTGGTCGCTATATCACCAGAAATTTTATTTTTTTAATGAAATAGCGACCAAGTTTGGTCGTTTTTTGTAGAAATCTGGGTATATAGCGACCAACAANTCATCACGGTATTGAGAAGGGTCTACTTGTCGATGACGGGAAGAATGATCACCGGGAGGACGGGAGGAACGACCACTTGGAGGACGGGATGAACGAGCACGGGGACGGGCAGCCTCTGGCGATGATGGCCGAGACCGGGGAATCGAAAAATATCCAGCTAGGAGATTTTTGATCTGATCTTGCATGCTTTGGCACTGAGCGACCACGCCAATATACTGAGCATCTCTAAGCTTTTCTCTTTCCTTGGACGCTTCTAGCTCGGATGTGAGCTTTGTCACAGTCTCCCGCATAGCGGAGAGGCTCTCCCTATCAAGTTGCTCGGCTTGCGAGGAAGTCCCTATTCCTTGCATTTCACACCTATAGCGATGGAATGTCTTAGTAGGAAGGCCGTATACCTTCCCCCATTTTGGACCGCCTGCAGTCCGCGTCCATAGTCTTTCAACATCCTCGGCCGAATGTTGGAATGACGCGCCCGACTCATTAGATGGCTGGCTGCGTATGAATTCCTCAGCTTCAACTCTGAAGCGATCCTATAAGAAAAAGTAAATTCAATTAGTATTTCAAAATTTACATAAAAGTAAATGAAAATACTTAATGAAAAGTGAAAACTTACATGTACAGTCGAGGCACGTCCCTCGACCCGCCTTTCTTGATCCGTCTCTTTCTTCTTCTTCACAATATGAGTCTCCCTGAATAGCTCATCTTGGTTCATCGGACGGCCCAACTTCTTTTCCTGAAAACTCATAAATTTTAATTAATAAATAGAATAGATATACTTTGAAAATTAAAATAAATTAAGCAATTACGTACCATTCTTCTTTTTATTGTCCCCTGGCTGACCGCACCTCCAGTGTGCAATGATCCTCCCTTCTCAGATGCGCGAGCTTTCTTTCCCTTTTCGCTCTTCTGTAAGAACTCTGCAGTAAGCCATTGCCTTTGCAAATCATCCCAAAACTCCTGAAGCAACCAGCCAGGCTTCTGGTTCAGCTGTCTAGCTATGGAGAAAGAATGCGACAACCGCTTGCGAGCTTTGAGATTAAAATTTGCAGCCACGTCCGCGCTATACTGGTGTTCCCATACACACTTGCTCTGTATTTCAAAAGTTAAATATTATATGGAAATATCATAAATATAAATAATTATACTGCTTAAAAGAACATTTATACCTTAAATTCATTGAAAATTGCCTCCTTCAGTGAGAATGGGAATTCACGCCAAGACGCATAAGAGGTNACTCATAAATTTTAATTAATAAATAGAATAGATATACTTTGAAAATTAAAATAAATTAAGCAATTACGTACCATTCTTCTTTTTATCGTCCCCTGGCTGACCGCACCTCCAGTGTGCAATGATCCTCCCTTCTCAGATGCGCGAGCTTACTTTANAATGTGGAAGAACACAAGTCTTTGAAAAACAAACTAATCTCAGTGATGGGTTTCCAGATTCTTTTAGTGAATAGACACTCCTTCTTTTATGTATGGCAGAAGTGACATTGCATGTCTAATAAAGTCCTCAACCCCTTCTACAAAATCCTCCCGCAATCCCCGCCGATTAGGATAATTCCTATTGTACATTCAAGAACGATGTTCCATTTATTTAAATAAAGCAAGAACAAATTAAATTAGTTAATTCATAGCCTAATCTTTTTTTAGTTAACTAAAAGTCCAATTCATATCCTATTATTGTTGCTTCATAAAATGAAATTTAACCCCATATATAAATTAGTCTACCTAAATAGTTAATTTATTTGAATCCTAAAAGTATTAATAAGAACCCTAAAAATTGCAAATAATATATAACATGGAGAAATTGAACCCTAACATGGAGAAATTGAACCCTAACATGGAGAAATTAAACCCTAACATGGAATTAACTTTGAACTAAACATAGTTGAACAAATAATATATAACTTTGAACCCTAATATATTGGAATTGAACCCCTAAAATCACTGTTTTTCGGAAAAATAAAAGAAAGGAGAGAGAAACTAACCTTGGGAGTGGAGGTCGCCGGAATTTGCTGTTGCCGTCAGGGGTCGCCGGTGGCGGGGGCGTCGCTGCTGCTGGAAGTCGGAGGGGGGAAGGGGTTTTGAGTGTTAGAGGAGAAAGATTTTAATTTGGGGAATAATTTTGAAAGAATGGACCTGAAACCCGTTTTGGCTCCTGTTAAAAAAAATAGCGACCAAACTTGGTCGCTATTTTGGTAGCCAAATTATTTTTGACTGTCTGACCAAAATAGCGACTAACGTTAGTCGCTATATTTGAAAATAAATAAATAAAATAATTATTTTCCTCTTATATATATATATATTTATATCCTAAAAAAGCGACCAACTTTGGTCGCCTTTTGGTCAAACGGTCAAAAATGACGACCAACGTTGGTCGCTATTTTGGTCAAACAGTCTATACTTAGTGCATAGTATAGCGTAAGTATGTATATTATATATATAAGCTATATTCGATACGGTATTACCTAATACACTTATACTTAGTGCATAGTATAGCGTAAGTACATATATTATATATATATAAGCTGTATTCGATACAGTATTACCTAATACACTTATACTTAGTGCATAGTATAGCGTAAGTACATATATTATATATATAAGCTGTATTCGATATAGTATTACCTAATACACTTATACTTGGTGCATAGTATAGCGTAAATACATATATTATATATATATAAGCTGTATTCGATATAGCATTACCTAATACACTTATACTTAGTGCATAGTATAGC